GCACCGCCGCCCGTTATAGCGGACTACCTCGCGTCACGTAATTCGTTCGCGCCGCTCGAAATCTACATGGAGTGCTCTCACTCCGATTCCGCGTCATCAACATCTGCCTCCCGGAAGAGGCCTGCTAAACAGTCCAGCACCAGGACATCGGAGTCCTCTGACTCCGATGATACCGGTGACTCCAATACATCGTCGTACACCACGGTTTCGTCAAAGCGCGCAGCGAAGCGCGCCGCGAAAAACCGTTCGCCCCCCGCCTCAGCGGCCCTTGCCGCTCCCCCCGCCCCCGCAGCCCCCGTCGCTGCCGCGTCTTCAACCGCAGCCCCCGCCGCTGCCCCGACCCCCTTAGATATTGCAGCGCCGTCGAAGCCGGCTTCACGTTGCGCTCCGCAACTCGCGAAAAAACCAGTCTCGCCCCCTGTCTTTTTGAGAGACAAGGCGGAGTTCACCAGACTTAGCAAGATCTGCTACGACTCTGGAATTAAATACGACCTAGCTACGAACATGGGCGTAGCGATAAAAATAGTTCCGCAATCGATAGACGATTTTCGCCGCCTCACTAGGCTTTTTACAACTGAACGCGTATCGTACCACACATAAAGTCAAGGCCGTCATCCGAGGCGTCCCGTTCGAACTCTCCAACGAGGAGATTCTTGATGACCTTAAGTCACAAGGATTCCCCGTTGAAGCTGTTCATAAAATGCACAGTAGGACCGGGTTGAGATACCCGATAGTCTTAGCTATCCTAACTAACGTTCCGGAGGCGAAAACCATCTTCCAGCAAGTACGCACGGTGTGCAGCTTGTCGGGAGTTAGGGTTGAGTCACCGCATAGGCGCGGTTTCCCGGCGCAGTGCCACCGCTGCCAACTATATAGTCACGCGGCGGCCAATTGATACGCCCCACCCAGGTGCGTTAAGTGCCTAGATCCACACATCACCAAAGAGTGTCCCCGGCCTAAAGATGCCGTATCCCCGCCCGCGTGCGTCCTGTGTCAACAGACAGGCCACCCGGCAAGCTACAGAGGATGCCCGTGCGCTCCTCGTCCTCGTATAATTAGACAGGTCCCACCGCCGGTAAATGACCGTTCATTCCCGGCGTTATATGTTAGGAGGCCCCGTCAGGGCGTATCTCAGCCGTCTCAGGGCGTTGCAAGACCCCCTCAGGGTCCCCCGAGACCACCAAAAGCACCTATTAGGCCACCTCCGGGCTTCTCAAAGCCTACGCAGGCTCCAGTTTTTCCCTGGGGCCCCAAAAAGGTTGAAACACCGCAGGCAACCTCTGCTCCGCAGCAGAAACAGACTACAATCGCCGATGACCTTAACACGGTTTACGCCGCGATAAGGAACATCGACGTTAACGAAATTGCTATATTAGCAAACAAATTGCGCGCCGCTCGGTCCCCCCAGGACCGTCTTCTGGCTCTCGTAGAGCACAGTAACCTATTGCGTTCGTTGTAAGTTAAGTTAACTTAATTAACTTAGCTTACAATGACAGAGCCTTCTGCTCTGCCTAAAAGTCACGGTCGTATCAAGCCCAAAGGGCTATCGCTTATTTCATTTAACATTCGCGGATTGCGAAATAACCTCCCAGAGCTTAAGCTCTTCCTTAAAGATCGCGAAGCTGATTTTCTCCTCTTACAGGAAACCAACCTTAAAAACAAAGACACTAAAGGCTTATCCATTAAAAATTATTCTCTTCTTCGTAATGATAGGCACGACCGCCGAGGCGGTGGCACGGCCATTTATTAGAAGAAGACACTACATTGCTCTCTTATTGATACTCCGCAGCTTACCAATATGGAAGCTACGTTATGCAGGTTATCTATGACGGGACATCAGTCTTTAGTCATAGCCTCCTGTTACTTTCCCCCTAGTAACCTCCCCCTCTAAGATGATTTCGAGGCAATCTTATCTCTTAGTAATTCAGTCATTATGTTTGGAGATTTTAACTCTAAACATACTGAATGGACATGCCGTACGATTAACCGTAGTGGTAGGATACTGCGTGATATAACGCAGTCTCTTGACATAACCGTTTTCAGCCCGCTCGGTGCAACGCACTATCCCGATGCTACCGATTTAAACCCAGATGTACTAGATTTTGCGTTACTCAAAGGAGTTTCACTCAACCTCAGGTCTATTGAGACACTAGACGATATAGGATCCGATCACCGACCGGTCTCCCTTATTCTTGGCCATCAGCCACCCCCTATTATAACTACGAAAACCTTCACTAACTGGAAGGGTTTCAAGGACTCCCTAGCAAAAGCTATGGACTCGCAGGACTCCCCTAATTACCTATCGTCGGATTTAGACTTAGACAGTCCCGTAAAAATCGACACCGCGGTCGAATCACTTTCAACCCTAATTAAATCCTCCCTTAAGGAGAATGAAAGGGTCGTCCCGGCTGCTAATACTAATGGGCTTCCCCTATATATTAGCAACATATTAAAAGCTAAAAAAGCTGCTTTCCGGAGAGCAGCTAAATATCCCACCCCCGAATATAGGCATACGGCTAATCGTCTTCAACGAAAACTCCGCTTACACCTTTCTGAATTTCGAGACCTTCAAAGGAGTGAACTCATGGAGAATATATCTCCTTCTCATACAGCGTACTATCAGATGGCTAGAGCCTTCCGTATAGACGCTACAGCTCACACTCCCCCTCTCTCCCGCCCCGACGGTACGGTTGCCTTCGAGGACGACGAAAAGGCTGAGTGCTTTGCAGACAGCATTGCCGCACAATGCTCTCCTAGCTCTCAACCTGTCGACCCCTCACACATTCAGGAAGTGGAAGATGAGGTCCGCCGCCGGAACTCACCCCCCACATCCTCTGACCCTATCACTGTGTCCAATGATGAGATCTCATCCATCATCAAAGGACTTAAGCCCAAAAAGTCTCCGGGCGCGGATGGCATATCCAACCAAGCCCTCAAAAACTTTCCAGAGCAGGTGTTAACCCTCTTATCTATTATCTTTAACGCCTGCTTCAATCTTAGTTATTTTCCCACTACTTGGAAAGAGGCAATTGTCATTGGTATTCCCAAGCCAGGCAAGCCTCTTAACCTCCTCTCCAGTCATCGTCCCATTAGCCTCCTAAAGGCCATGGGCAAACTCTTTGAAAGAGTCATTCAAAATCGAATGAGGCGCCATCTGTTTCCCACAGACGGTGACCCCCTTGTCATCCCACACCAATTTGGTTTCCGTGCGAAACACTCGTGTCCACAACAAGTACACCGCATTGTGGAATATATCCTCAGCGGTTTTTATCTACGTCGACTAAAGACAATCGCGGTCTTTTTCGACATTGCCAAAGCCTTCGACCGCGTCTGGCACGAAGGCCTTATTTTCAAATTATATAGGATAGGACTTTTCGATCGTCTAGTACGTCTCGTAGCCTCTTACCTACAACATCGTAACTTTCGATTTAGACACGAAGGCACGTTATCCTCTCAGCGCCCCATTAAAGCTGGTGTTCCTCAGGGATCAGTACTAGCTCCCCTCCTGTACATCTTGTACACCAACGACATTCCAATCCCGTCGAATGGTGTACAGCTCTCACTCTTCGCAGATGACACTGCTCTATACTTCAAAAGTCCTAGAATATCTTCAGCAAGGAACAAGATCCAAAAGTCAGTCGATGACCTAGGAGATTGGTTCCAAAAATGGCGTATCGATGTGAACCCGGAGAAGAGCTCCGCAGTTCAATTCGATATTAAAAGACGCCGTAATAAAAACAAGAAAAATACTCCACCTATACAAATGCTAGGGACCCCTGTCCCATGGCATATGTCAGCAAAATATTTAGGCGTCACCCTTGACTACAGGCTTACTTTTGAGTCTCATGTCAATAGAGTAACACGTCTAGCTCGTTTATACCTAGGTAGGCTTAACAGTATGTTAGGCAGACATAGCAAAATGTCATTACGAAATAAGCGAACCCTCTATAAGGTTTGTATACGACCGGTAATGACTTACTCGGCTCCTATTTTTGCACACGCTAACCATAAAATTATTAACGAACTCCAAGTAGTTCAAAACCTATTCTGTCGTCGAGCTACGAACGCACCTTGGTACGTCCGTAATGCCGACCTTCACCGGGACTTAGAAATCCCAACAATCCAACAATGTCTCAAAAAACTCTCTGAAAACTTCTTTAAAGTATCAGAGTCGCATACTAACGCACTTATTCGTGAGGCAGTAACTTATACCGCCCCACTCCCCTCCCGCCATACCGTCCGCAGGCAGAGAAACACTCTCTCGGACCAGCCAAATAAACTTTCAAGCGACCTGAACTGCCTTCTGGCGGCTCAGGCCAGTACTAATTAAATTAAAAATTATTTAAAATCAATATGCCTTCGTAGGCAGTCCCTAAACGGCACTTAGCCGTCTGCGCCCTCTTTTCCCAAAAGAGGGTCGCTTTAGATACGGCATATGAAGCTTTCAACAGCTAGTTGCCAGTCCCCAAAGGCAGTTTTTCGGGGGTATCACTTAGGTTCCCCTTGTAGGTAGTGAGTCCCCCATAACCACGATGGACCGGCCATCGTGGTATGCGTAATGCATTTTCTGCCTCCCTTCGGGGTAGCCCTTTTCCAATTGCTTCGGGCGCAAAAAAAAAAAAAAGTCGCGCCTCGTCAGTCAGTTGACGATTAGCGTTTGGAGCGATAAGTTCCTACCTACCTACTTACAAGCTGGCTAGCGAATAGCGGAGTTTAAACGTGATATGAAACTAGTGTTCATTGTTCTACTGCCTGCTGTATTCTGATTGTATCAGTTTTGTACATTTCTTCTTTGGACTAAATCACTAAACTTTGTCTCATAAACGCAGTAACGATTGTGCATTATTTTGACCCCACCATCCTGACGTGTAACATTATTAATAAAGAAGAATGGAAACACTACCGTGGAAAAAAAATTTAATAAAATAAACATATTTTTTAAAGAAAATAATCTTAGTTGGAACGATTGCATTGACATTTGTACAGATGGGGCCAAGGCGATGACAGGTAAAACAGCAGGAGCAGTATCACGAATAAAAAGTAAAGCGCCTAATTGTAGTTCCAGCCATTGTATTCTGCATAGACAAGCACTTGCGATGAAGCAAATGCCGTCAAATCTAAAATTAGTTATGGATGAAGCGGTAAAAATAATTAATTTTATCAAATCACGACCACTACAATCCCGATTGTTCTCATTATTGTGTGAAGATTATGGCAGCAAACATAAAACACTGCTGCTCCATACAGAAGTGCGATGGCTGTCTCGGGGTAAAACTTTAACAAGGGTATTTGAACTTAGAACCGAGTTACAAATGTTTCTTTCAGCAGATACAGTTTCTTTTAATTTGAAAGACCGTTTGTATGATAAAACTTGGTTGTTCCGAATGTCTTTTATGGCGGATATCTTTCAAAAACTGAACGAATTGAATTTATCATTGCAAGGTACACAGACATCTGTGTTCCAGGCCTATAACAAAATAACTGCCTTCAAAAGAAAATTAGATTTTTGGATTATTTGCGTTGGTAAGAGAGAAATAGAAAGCTTTACGTCACTCAGTGAGTTTGTTAGCGATAACGACTCGGAAATGTTTCAAGATGATGTGTTTGAAGAATTGGTCCAATATCTCACTTCGATGCGCGCATCTTTTGAAAAGTATTTTCCCGAAGAACAGAATACAAAAATGAAGCTGAATTCATGGATTCATAATCCTTTTTTACCCAACTTGCAAAAGCCCGAAAGTATTGTCAAACGAGATATATGAATCTCTTTTAGAAATGTCATCAGACACAAGTATGGAGTCACTGTTCAAAACGACGCCTCTCAACGATTTTTGGTGCAGTGGCCGATTTCCCGGCCGAGCCGACCCATTTGTGCTACAACCATAATATAGCTGCAGCATGGCGGTTGCACGAAATTTTTTATTTTACCACTTGTATTATTAACACATACAGTGCCAATTACACGGCGCCGTGAAGGTGTGTGCGGCCGAACACACGGCGCCGTGGAGGGGTGCGGGGGCCGGCTACACGGCGCCGTGGCTCGCGCCCGTACATTTTGCATGCGTTAGTATTCCGTCGGCTCTTGCGAAACGCACACGTTTTTTAGTTGGCCATACGCTCGAATTCAAGAACTTGCGAGAACCGTTTTCGGATTTTTATTTGTGTGACCGGTTCTTATTATACGAGCCTTTGAAAATATACAATTTTCGCGCCAAAATGAGCGATAAGCCCCGGCCTTCAAAGCGCTCTAGTAAAACAAGTATACTGACTTCTCGTGCTAAAAAACGCCGCACAAATTTTTTTTCTGATGAAAGTGATTGCTCTAGTGAGGAAGAAGTTTTCTCGCAGTGTAGTGATGGGGATAAGGAATGGGAAGAGGAAGAAGAGACGGAATCCAGTGATGAGAGCATTTTTGATTCGAGCAAGTCTTGCAAAAATAGACTTGCAGTGAGCCGTGACCCTTTAGGGGTTGGCTATAGATATCCGGTACTTGATTTTAGTTATGTTTTCAACTTAGGAGGCTTGTCAGGGTTAAGCATGAACATTTTAAACTGTTTTTGAATGTCGGAAATGCGTTTTTAATTAATTATGACAAAAATAAATTTCAATAAAAATTCCGTATAACGAAACGCAAATATGACAATTTTGTATAGTGTCATGAGATTAGATGTCAAAAACAGATGCAAAAAGTGTGAATCGGAACGGTTGTTGACGGCCATGTTGTCGGCAACCGTAAATGTCAAATATAATATATTATCTATGATGTCAAATTTAAATTGTCATTCCGTTTCTCTAGTAGTCACGCGAATGTTCTTTTTTGTGCTTAGTGCTGTGTTTTCCCTGTTTTTTCGACGACTTCTGCTCTGTTTTTGGACTTCTTTGATTGCCCTTACGTTTGACCTTGGCTTTGTTTCTGGTTTTGATTGGATTGCATTACTTTGGACTTTGGCTTGCTTACCGGACCTGAGAATGAGCGATTACGAACCCGTAGCGGGGCCTTCTTCGGCATCTGACGCTTTACTCGAGGAACCATCACACATCGACGAAGACTTCTCTGACGACGGCGACTATGTGAAGCGTCGACTATACGTGTCTGAGATTATGTTCATGTGGAATCTGTCGGATATTGTGCGTGAACTTGGAACGAACGAGCAATGTGTTTGATATAGTGAGGATGAAGGGCTGGTCCTAAAGGAACGAAAGTGCGGCAAACATAAAACTAATATGAAAATCTCATACTCAAGTGGCTGCAAATCGCTTGGTACTTTCATATGTGCTAAAGCATCCTGTAAAGGGAAAGCTGGAGGCAGTGGAGTTAAAATCTCACGACGACAAGGGACTTTTTTTGAAAATGTAACTCTTGATATGCCCCACATATATTACCTCATATATGCATATTCACAAGGATGGTCTTATAATCAAACAATCCATGAAGACCCATATAAACGACAGAGACAACAATGTTTAAGCCCAAATACAATATGTGATTGGTACAATTACTGCAGAGAGGTAGTTGTTATTTACTACCTCGAGAAACAGAATCAGTTTACTGGAAAGATTGGTGGCCCTGGTAAAATTGTACAAATTGATGAAAGCAAATTTGGAAAACGAAAATACAATAAAGGTAAATATAAGTATGATTATGTTTACACCTTTTTTTGTCATACTAAATGTCTAATATTAATTTTATTTGTTATAGGACGTCACATCGAAGGCCACTGGGTGCTCGGTATGATAGAAGATGGGTCTGAGGATCTCAGACTAGAGGTGTGCCCGGACAATATTAGGTCTGCTGAGGTACTGGTGCCGCTTATACAGAGACATGTGGCGGCGGGTACCACAATTCATACTGATTGTTGGCGGGCATATGATTGTTTGGCAGAACACGGGTACACACATAAAAAAGTTAACCACTCAGACCCAGACAATCCATTTGTGGCTGAAGATGGGACTCATACACAACGAATTGAGTCGCAGTGGAGAGCAGTGAAGAGGTTTTTTAGAAAACAAAATTATAATAATTCTCAAAGTTTTACAGACATGATAGTAGAGTATTTGTGGAGACGAAATGTAGAAAAGTTTAAAAAGGATCCATTCAAAGAAATTATGCGAGCAATAAAGCATGTGTATAAAATAAATTAAATAATTAAAATTACATTGTTTCATTTACCACTATCATAGCAGAGTTTAGGGAAACCTGACTTTAGATAAGATAGATCGAATTTGTACTAAAACTGACTCAGAACACCCCGACTCCACGTAGTCTTGTCTGCCCTACCCCTAGAGTGTTTTTTAAAGCCGTAGGCGCGGAGGGAAAGCAGCCCCCGCCCGCTGGAGCAAATGCTCACCTCCGCAGCTTCGGCTTATTGGTCGCCTTCGGCGACCAGCCTCAGCCGCTACGGCTCGCTCGGGGGCCTGCGATTTGCTACGCAAGGGCGATGGGGCTGCATTTCCCGTAGCGCCGAAGCCGTTACAGAAGTAACTTTGTGTCAATATTCCTATGTAAAAAAGTGAGGTTATGATTTTACAAAAGAAATTATTACTCATAAACTATACATTTCCGCAAGCGGGGAAGGGTAGGGGGGCTTCCCCTGGCTAAAATTCCTCCAGTTATGGACCATTTCAACAACACAATGAATGCTATTTATTATCCAGGAAAACAGCTTTCTTTGGATGAATCTATGGTGTTGTGGCGTGGTCGTCTAGTGTTTCGCCAGTTCATCAAAAATAAGAGACACAAGTATGGTGTTAAATTGTACATTCTGGCTGAGGCTGATGGTACAGTAATAAAATTTCAGATATATGGTGGTGCAGGTGATGAGACTGCCAGAGTTGGACACACTCAAAAAGTTGTTCTGAAGTTGCTGGAAGAAAAACTAGATTCTGGTCACAGTGTTTATATGGATAATTATTACAATTCGTATGATTTAGCAGTAAAACAGTTGGATCGTCAAACTTATTGTACTGGTACCCTTGGTAAAACACGAAAAGGAAATCCTATCGAACTTGGCACAGTCACATTAAAAAAAGGAGAAAACAAATCTTTATTTTTGAATAACGTACACATCGGCAAATGGAGAGATAAGCGATATGTGCTTTATTTGACAACGGAGCACAAAAATGAAATGATTGAAGTTACGAATAAAAGAGAACAAATTACTGAAAAACCTTCAGCAATTGTGCACTACAACAACTTTATGTCAGGAGTTGATCTTCAGGATCAAATGCGGTCCTACTATCCCTGCGAGAGGAAGACTATGTGCTGGTATAAGAAGATATTTATACATACACTGCAAATGAGCCTAAGCAACTCATTTTATTTATATAAAACGAGTAAGATCAATTTGTATGATTACAGTCTTTCAATTTTGGAGATGTTACCTAAACAAAATGTGTTAACGAAGACACTGGTCATGGAGCACAAACTAACCAAGATAGAAACGATAAAGATACGTGAGAAAAAGGAAGGAAAGCGTACACAAACAATAAAAGAAGTAGTGAGGAAAGAGTGTAAGGGTTGCAGAGGAAAGAAAAAAAGAACAGCAACGCTCTTTGAATGTAAAGGTTGTCCAGACGCCCCAGGGTATTGTACTGAATGTTTTTGCGAAGCTCATTCATAAGTTTGATATATAAGTACCCACTACTGCCATTTTTATAAGAGAACAGTAGGAGATTATTGATTTGTTTTTCCAGAGTTCTTTGGTTTATTTTTGATAGAAGCTTTTTTATTTGTTTTTCGAATAAGTTTTTTGGTTTGTTCTTTATAAAGGTATTTTTTTTGTTTTTTACAAATTTATTTTGCCAAGTTTCTTGATTTATGTTCCTAGAAGTATTTTGTTTTGGTAGTATATTTTAGTTTATCATTTGTTTTTACAAGACAATTTTGATGTGGTTTGCACTTTTATAATGTAACAAAAGGAATAAGAGAACTATGATAAGTTTTTCGTATTAATAATCTCATTTTTTAAAATAAAACTAATAAAATAAAAAAAATTGTTTTATTTTATGGCCCTCAAAATGAACTGTAAGATATTATTTTAAAAATAGTTAACAATTAAACCTGCACACGGCACCGTGTACACCGCCATACGCTATCCTGTACAGCAGTTTGGCTTTAGATCATCTTCAACTAGCTATATATAAAATAAAATATTTATTTAAAATAGGGCTCTATTAATGAATCACTTATTTAAAAAGGCATTGAATGTGTTAATATTCAGTAAAATAGCAGTTTAATACTGCTATTTTACACCGGTATTCTGTAAGAGTGTGGTCCTTCCCCGGTTGAGCCGACCCATTCGTGTTACAACTATACTATTAATATAGCTGCAGCATGGCTCTACCACGTATAATGCATATCATGCGAAAATAAACCCGGACTTTGTGTCGAATGTTTTGACAACTATCACAAGGAAATTGGAAATTGATTTTTTGATTTTTCTATTATTAATAAATGAAAAATACTAAAAACCTACCCTTTGCACTCATGCGTCAAGAGATGGATTAGGATGAAATTTTCATTCCAGGAGCCCGTTACGCACCGGTGTGGAATTTTTTTATGTCACCTTTATACACACTAAATTAATATAAGCAGTATATAATTCGTATTATTTAACAGTTTTAAAACTGGGCAAAACAAAATTTCATAGGCTATGTGCACTCTGTTCACTCATCTTGACGGGCAGTGAAGCTGTTAAAACATACTAAATACTATTCCAATAAATTATTAGGGGTTATATAATACATCTGTGTGAGGCTGTCAAATATCAATGAAATTATACCTTTTCAAAATTGTTTTGTGCTTAAGCACCTTAAACAATTATGATACATAAAATATGAATATAGTATGTTAAATACATACTTCATTCTCTCATCTATAGGAAGCTTTTTTACTACTAAAGTTAATGTTACAGCCTATATAGGTCCCACTGCTGGACACAAGCCTCCTATCACTTCTGAGAGGGTTTTTAAGACAAAGAAATGTCCACCGCGCTACCCCAATATGTTTAGTAAACTTCACAAGCCACTGTGATATTGTCATTATGTTTTTCTTATTTCTCAGAAATACAGGTTTCCTCGTGACGTTTTCCTTCACCACTGAGCATGTGGTAAATCGGCACTTAAAATTGCAATTAACAATTTCATTTGTGGCAGTAGGGATCATACCCGGGTACATAATTACCAATATGCAATATATACTATAATACAAAGTTAAGGAAAAAATAAGTCTACATACATTTTCACTCCATCCTACAGGGCAACCTTGATCTAGTACAATATTTTACATGGCCACACACTGGTTGATAATCTGGACAAGATTATTATTCTCCAATGCAGCTGCAACTCGCTCCTTATCAGCTAACTGCTTGTTTACTGCATGTTCTGACACGTGAGTACCTTCCGACACCTCGACGGTAACTTTGAAACGACTTGGTAGGGCTCGTAATAACTGGACCCGAATTGAGAGACCTGAAAGAATTTATTTTATTTTTTACAGGTAGTAAAATATCTCAGTGTATTCAGATTGTGGAATTTTAAGTCATAATTATTTGTAATACTGTACTCTACTATTAGGTACATAGGTTATCTATCCTAATTCTCTTTTTATAACAATCATACATCTTTGGTATCATGACGTATTTTTGCATAGGTTTCACTTAGAAAAACATGTTTAACACTGTCAGTTAGGTCGAGCTTCTAAGGTCATTTAAAAATATATTCCTACGTCTAGAGCAAGTGCTAACATCTAGAACGTACGAACTTACCAATTAATGTGGCCATACTACAATGAGGAATAGTCGGAGTGAAATTGACGTGAACAACGTTTTCCTTATTGTCAACGGATATGTTTTTTTCTTCGACCACACGAAGCTCCTCAAGAGTAAGCGGATGCTCGGGATCATTAATATTGCGTATCAAGTCGAAAATTTCTCTCTCATCAAATTCATCTACAACGTTTTCGTCATGTTCTTCTAACGTTATTTCGCGCTCAGACTCCTTTTCGTATATGTGAGGGTTAACGTTGTCTGCAACTTTGGTCATATTATTTTTGATAATTATATTATGTAATATTAATAAGAAAAATATAGCCTTATGTTAAATCAATGTTAACAATGTTAATTTGAAACAACTTCGAGTTGAGAAAATACTGCTGTATGTATGTTATTTATTTCCTTGCGTCCATAGATACTTGTGTCCATAGATAAATATATATGTAGCAAGCTAGACCAGAGTAGTGTTGAGTACTTGAGTAGGACATACAAGAGGCGTTACATTTGTCCCGGACATGACGTCAAAATGTAAGAGCGGCTCGGCATTTTTTAATGTACTACTTCAAATTTTATGTCGCGGCAGTCGCGAAGTCGCCTTACTCACTCTCCGTCTGCGTAAAACTATGAGGAAAGAGAGGGAGCGAAATGCATGCTACAAATTAGAATAGTACGTCATTCTAAAATGAACATTACGTGACAGCGTTTCGAATCTCGAGCGAGAGGGAAATATGTTGCTGACATTGATATTATTATTAATAAATACTGTGAGGCGCACATTGCAACGAACTCTTTCCATTTATATGTGTTTTGAATATCGTAACGTACTTGAGTCAGTGACCAGTGCAAAAGTTTTTAATTTGATACTTCGTTTGTGTAGTTTAAGTGAATAGATATTTTTATTTAGGTATATATTCAGGTATGTAAGTCTTTGTATTAATTCATGATTTATGAATGACTTTCAATTCTTATTTATTTTGCTTGTATGGCTACTTTGTGTTAGTGTTTTAATTTTGTTATGGTTTTAATATGTTTATTCGTCTGAGTTGATACTTTTGTTTATGACTACATTTGAATAAAAGATACCTATAAACTTTGTATAGTTATAGGTGTTAGTAAAGTATTTAAGTAAAAGACATTTTAGCGAATGTCGATTGTCCGTTGGCCAAGACACCTCAGCGGTGCGAGCGGCAGCGGCAGGGTTTATGTCAACAAACAAAGTTTATGTCTTGTACATACAACTTTATAATTTGTGTAGGTATGTCAAATCAAAATAGATACCCTATTTAAGGGTTACCAGGCTACATAAATAAAATATCCCCTGCTAATAACGGTTTTCAGATGTTTACTTTATTTGACATTTTTTCTGTTTGCTTTTTGCATGCGCAGTATGTCTGGTGATGGTGATAGAAAATCCTCAAAAGCTTGGCAGTTTTTTAAAGACCTCAAAAATGATAAAGCCAAATGCAATTTTTGTCAGAAAGAATTTTCATACAAAGGCGGTGGTGCTTACAACCTAATCAGACACACAAAAAGCAAGCATCCACAAGTGTTTGTCGCTATACGTGAATGTCCGATTGAAAATATAGCTTCTTCTGCAACAGAAATCCATAATTTGACAACACATTCCACTGATTCGAAGGCACCAGAACTTGAGATGCCTACTGCTTCCACATCTACTGCTTCAACTTATGTCATGCCTGAAACATCTGATTTCTTACCAGCCACCACTAAAAACACCAACCTATATAAAAAAGCTCCAGCCACTAACACGAAACTAACACAGTACTTTTATAAACCGCTTTCTGCTAAAAAAACTGAACATCTAAACAAAATGCTGGTAAAATTATTCACAAAAAATTACTTAGCCTTCCATCTCATTGAATCCCCTGAACTCAAAGATTTTATTAAAGAATTAAATCCAGCCTACCAGTTACCTAGTCGTAAGACGTTATCTAATGCATTGATGACTAATGTCTATAATCAAACAAAAGAAAAGGTTAAGTCAGAACTCTGTCAAGCAGAACATGTGTGCATTACAACCGATGGGTGGACATCAGCCCCCAATGATAATTACTTAGCCGTGACAATACATTTTTTCAATCAGCAAGCAGAATTAAAATCTTTTTTGTTGGAATGTATACAGTTTCCAGATAGACATACTTCAGAAAACCTAGCACTAGAACTAAAAAGAATTACAGATAATTGGGAAATTACTGACAAAATTGTAGCAGCAATCAGTGATAACGCTTATAATATCAAAGCTGCTATAAGACTTAATAATTGGAAGCACATACCTTGTTTCGCTCATACTCTTAACCTTATAGTCCAATCTGCATTAAAAGAAATAAAAGATATTACTACAAAAATTAAACAAATTGTCGAATTATTTCGTAGAAGTCCACTTGCATCTGAAAGATTAAAAAATATGCAAAAGAAGCTAGATGAACCCCTATTGAAGATAAAACAAGACGTTTCCACACGCTGGAACTCCACGTATGATATGTTCGAAAGGGTGTTAAAAATTAAAAACAGTGTTATGTCCACAATTGCTATCGATTATCCCGATACTATAAATATGACTTCTGAAGACATTGAGGTTTTGGATTCGGCAATAGAAATTCTTTCATTTTTCAAAGATGTAACTGAGGAGATGAGTTCAGAAAAGAATGTTACAATATCAGAGGTGAAGTAATAGATAACGCATTTATTTTGTATTTTCAATTTTAACATTCTTTTTTCATGTATGAGGTGTTTTATAAATTTCAGGTTATACTTATATCAAACGCCCTCAAAAAGAAATGCCAAAAATTTTTATCTACGCCACATCCGGACTGTGTTTTACGAATGACCCAAGTGCTTTTAAATGAAATTAGCACAAGGTTTTCGTGCATTGAGGAGAATAATATTTTTGCTGAAAGCACTATATTAGATCCAAGATTCAAAAAATATGGGTTTGAGAATGAGTACGCTTACAGTAAAGCATGTACAAATATCAAAGCCATGGCCGGGCGAATTCAAATACAAAGCACATGTACATCAGAGCCGCCATCTTCGTCGCCATCCCGTAAGCGTAAACATAGCATATGGAATGAGTTTGATGAGCAAGTGGATATGATAATAAAAAATATTAATCCGACTGCAGGGGGTATTATCGAAGTTGATAAATACCTCGAGGAACCCCTACTGCCAAGGTCCCAAGATCCTGCCAAGTGGTGGTTCGTTAAAAAGGACGCCTATCCTAGGCTTTATAAGTTATTTTTAAAACGGCTTTGTATTGTTGCCACTTCAGTGCCTTCCGAGCGCACTTTCAGTAAAGCAGGCCAGGTCCTTACGGAGAGAAGGAACCGGCTTAGTGGCAACAAAGTCGCGCAAATATTATTTTTACATTCTAATTTATAATTTTATTTGCAAGCTTTTTTATTATATTCTTTAAAATATATTTCTTTATCTTTTTATTTACCTAATTACAAACAATATAATCGTGTATGTATCGTTTCATAGTCAATGTCTTCAATCAGAGTACAGATTGTAACTGTACGGCAATAACGTCAAATGTCATATTTATACTCGTAACTTCAAACGTTTCGTCGGGCTTCAGCACGCCTCGCCCAAATACCAAACCTCGTTAGCCTCACCTCATTTGAAGTGGGACATTGTACTAGCTCAGTACAAAAAAGAGGCTACTCTTACAAACTCTACTTTATGTCGTGTCCTACCCAACACTAGACCAGAGTCACCAGCACAGAGTAACTTTCTACTTTTGTCATTCTGACAATGACCAATAATTTTTTTATAACTGGCTTTATGGCTCTGGATTCTAGCCCTTCTGAGCCTAAAGATACAATATATAATTATTCTTATAGTACACTGTTTCACAATATGTTGATGCGTCACATTGTGCAGGCCTTGGGAGATTTTGACGGCAACTTGAGACAGCAGACAGCTGACAGTTGGCGATGGTATCGCAAGGCGCCTAAGCAGACAGGCACGTTATCTTGAGAATCAGATCACCATCAGAGCACTTGTTTCACCGTTTCCATTAATAGTTCACATGCGCAGACACTTAATACACAAGATCGCACCACTGTTACGTATCAAAATCTACTTCAAAACATTATTTAAACAATAATACAAGAGCAGCAATCCTGCATCGTTCAAGTTTCCACTAAAACCCCCACAGTATCTCAATCTAAATGTCATTCCATAGACAAATAAATATGTAGCCAGCACCAAAGATATTATAATATACTTCGTATAGAACGATACTTATTACTACTTAACTATATTACTATAAAATATCTTTGGCCAGCACAGACCAATATGATGCTTACTGCCTTTTCACACGCTCGTGACCTCGCTGGGTAACCAGTGCCGGGTACTCGGCACAGGCTACCCGGCGGCAAAGTGTATAGCTATGTACATTAGCTTTCACAGGTACCGCCGTGATTTGTCCGCCAAGCGATCGCCGGGTATACGCCGGGACTACCACTGTGCGTCCGGTCGCTGCCCACCGGTTAGCCGGCGATGCATGGAAGACGCACGTGCTTTCATACACACCGGCGGCTAGTCACCCAAGTACAACCACGTAGAGAGGAGGCTACTGGATACAAAATCGTCTTGCGTGAAAGCTGAATGTATTCCCGGACAATCGGCACCGGCTACCCGGCAACCGGAGCGTGTGAAAAGGCACTTACTCATGTAGCAAGGGTTGCACCAGCCTGGTAACAAGCTATACTAATGACGACTCCACGACATTTTCTGTCACCAGCACGGCAACATTTAAAAATGAGGTGTAATATTTGACAGACTTCATTGCGGGGTAGTTAATTTGTTCGAAAATGTAAAGGTTAATGTTCATTTCTGTACTGTTAGATATTTTATATATAGATTAAAACTTAACTAGAAACTTAATTATAAAAATTAAAAAAATGTTAAAAATATGCAAAATATTAAAGACCAAACCACTGAGGCACTCTTTTGTGTATTAATATAATACTCTAGAAACTGATAAACTTTTATTTAGAAGTAACTTCTCAATTAAATGACATTAAAACTAAAAAAAAAACCAGAAAAACTTCACCTCAGCCTCAGTGTCAACTAACGACATCTGGCGAACAGAAGATTATTAGCCCTCATTAACCGAAGTTTTAATCAAAAATACAAATGAAAAAGTAATGTTTTTTTTTACTTTTTTTGGCTTGGATGCTTGTTAAAGGAAAGGTGATATTCATATATAGCTATATTTTTTATCCTATATGAAATCTCATATGC